ATTTTTTGGTTGCAGCCATCATTGTTGTTTGGCGGGTCCGGGCTGGGGATTCGAACCTGCCACCCTAGGTGTACGTGGCTGGCGCCTTAGCCGGTTGAGCTATAGGCGCCGAGCCGAGTTTGAGGTTCTTATGAGCTAGGCTGAGGCCATGGCACTCTAGCTTGGTGGACAGAATGAGACTGGATCTCAGAAAAAGGTGTGCAACAGGCTCGGTGCCTGTGGCTCAAGTGGCTAAGATGCCAGCCACATACACCTGAGCTGGTGGGTTCGAATCCAGCCAGGCCTGCCAAACAACAACAATGGCTGCAACCAACAAACAGCTGGGCATTGTGGCGGGTGCCTATAGTCCCAGCTACATGGGAGGCTGAGGCAGAAGAATCGCTTGAGCCTAGGGGTTGGAGGTTTCCGTGAGCTGTGATGCCACAGCATTCTACCCAGGGCGACAGCTTGAGGCTCTGTCTCAAAAAAAAAAAGTGTGCAACATCTTGGCTCAGCCCCAAATTTCCCATATACTCTCCTTCCCCATGGCCCATGGCTGTGGATGACTGACTGGGTGTGGGTGAAGATGGGATCCCTCTGCACACTCTGGCAAGAAGACCTACCTCCCTTGCAGTGGGGTCTCTCTGTTAGCAATAGGTTGATGGCTCCATAGCCAACCCTATGACCTCACCCCAGCACCAGGCTCCAACTACCCACATGCTGACACTTCAGTGTCACATCCTCCCCCTAGCTCTCCCAAAATACCTACTTAAATCAGGGAGACCACCCCCTCACTGGCTCCTAAAAGAGAGCCCTCACTGGCTCCCAAAAGAGAGCCCTCACTGTCAGCCCTCACCCCTTCACTGTCTCTCCATGGCAGAGCCCCGAGAAAGAAAATCCCCAGGGAGGGTATCCCTTCCTCCCCCAGCCATCCTGCCCAGCATCCTCTCACTCCAGGCTGCTCCATCTGAAGACCCCCAAGAAGTGAGCTACACCCAGCCAGACAGCTTGACTCTCACGTGGGGGCAACTGTACCCTCTTCCTCCCAATCCAGGGAGCCCTAAGTCCAGCGACTATGCTGCTCTGCCATCTACTAGCCCAGAACAGCCAGACCCCTCACCCCAAGATATGTGACTGCAAGGACTCTGTGAAGGCACAGGTGCTGCTCCAGGGACACTAAAGATTATTCCCCAGGCAACACTTGAGAGGGAGGGCTGCCCTGTAGGTTTCACAGTTGCATAGCACTTTGTCCCTGCATTGAAGCTGGCATAACTGACCTCAAATCTACAAAACCCAGAGGACTGAAACAGCTACAGCATGCAAAACAGCCCAAGCCTCTTCCTCCCGAGTAACACAATTTCCCAACAGGGCAAAGGAAAAGGAAGCCTGCCTCTCCTGACCACAGAAACTGCATGTGCAGGGGAAGGACAGCAGTTCCCTAAACATGCCTTCCTCAAGGTCACTAATCCACCTCCCCAACCTACATCTGAAGACATAAAACTGGGAACTTGTCCAGTATCACCCAGAAGAGAGCAAGTTTTTTTTCTTTTTTGAGAGTCTATGTCTGTCACTTTTGATAGAATGCCATGGCATCACAGCTCACAGCTGGGCTTAAGCAATTCTCCTGTCTCAGCCTCCCAAGCAGCTGGGACTACAGGCACCCACCACAACGTCCAGCTACTTTTTGGTTGTAGTTGTTAGTTTGGCAGGCCCAGGCTGGGTTTGAACCTCCAGCTCTGATGTACATGACTGGCAGGCACCCTAGCCACTGAGCTACAGGTGCTGAGCCCTTTTTTGAATCAGTCTTAAACCATTGCCCTGGGTAGAGTGCCATAGCATCAATGCTCATAGCAACCTCCAATTCCTGGACTCAAGAGGTCCTCTTGCCTGAGTTTATTTTAGTAGAGATGGTGGTCTTGGTTCAAGCAATCCACCCACCTCAGCTTCCCAGAGTGCTAGGATTACAGGCAGGAGCCATGTCACCCAGCCAACAGAACAAGCTTTGAAATTAAGTCTGTAGATGTTGTGACATGCTCAACGAAAATGCAGTCACTACCAGTGAATCCCAAGGGGGGTCATCTCAGAGATGAGCTCCCACCAAACTGTCACCAGCAATCCCAAGAGGGAGTGGGTTCATCTCAGAGATGAGCTCCCACCAAACTGTCAAGGTCAACATTGAAGGCCCTGATGTCTACTTGCTACTTCCTCTGCTTGAAAATGACTCCTGGGTGACACCTGTGGCTCAGTGAGTGGCGTATACAGAGGGTGGAGGGTTTGAACCTGGCCCTGGCCAAACTGCAACAAAAAATAGCTGGGCTTTGTGACAGGTGCCTGTAGTCCCAGCTACTTGGGAGGCCGAGGCAAGAGATTTATCTAAGCCCAATAGCTGGTTGCTATGATGCCACAGCACACTATCCAGGGTGAGAGGAAGACT